CCCCAAAACCCCAAAACCCCAAAACCCCAAAACCCCTATCCAACCCAAAAGCTTGAAGGGTCTCTAAATTTCTAGGTCTAAAACATATAGCTTAGGCCAAGTCTAACTCTGAAAAGCTAGAGTGTGATTTTGAGTGTGATATCGTTTTGTCTTGAGAAGTCAAGGATAGGTTTTATTGAGCATAAGCATTCTTGGAGTTTGGACCCAGGGATTTGAGTTAGGTTTAGGTTCAGGTTTTGGCAGGGATGGGTGGATGGAGGGGAAAATTTGGTTTTTGAGCTATGGGAATTTTAGAGAAGAGAGGGGGTTGGGGGTTAAGGTGTCGGGAGATGGAGTGAACAGGATTTTTAGAGAGGGAAGGTTAATTACTGGATGAAATTTCACTTTTTAGTGGCAAGAGGAAGCCTTGCTGGGGCAAATCTCTTGGTTCGAGTGACTGAAGAGGATTTTGATTTTACTAAAAATTAATATAAAATTACTTGTTGACATGTTTATTTCTGAGTAATTGTTTGTATTTTCTAGCCTACTTGCGTTTGTTGCAAAGCTTATATAATCAATACAATCTTTTAGAGTGCAATTTCCCCCTGGAGTTAATGTTTGATTGAGATCCTTGCTGCCAGCCCAATTATTAGCATTGAAATGACCTTGGTTTTCTTTGTCACTAACATCGTGAATATTAAATCCTTTATTGTTACTTTCTCTTGAAATCAAGGCTGTTCACCTAGATTCCACTACATATTCTTCAGCTATGCTCATGTGAGAAAGAGTGCTTTGTGGTCTTAGAGAAAAACTCTCCATTTCTGGATCTCCTTCTTTTGTTTGTTGGATCAAATCAGTCACGAAACTGACCTAAAAGTTGATATTTTTTAAGCACCTTTTTCTTATATTTGACTTTAGCATTTGTACCTCCTAGTCAAACATCACTGTCTTCATTAATATTTTCACTCCCATCAGTGACTAAGTTTACAGGCCTAGAGCCTTTGAAAGTATCTGTATCATGGATTGGTTCCTCCTTCTCAGACAAGTTAGTAATATGGTAGAGAGATCCATCATTGGTCTGTCTATTTATCATTAAGCTTGACCTACTCGTCGTTCAGAATGGAGTGCAGAAGCTTGATTCTTCGAAGGGATTTCTCATTCTCTGTCGATAAGATTGAATCTTTTCAGTTATTATGTTTATCCTCTATTTCATTCTTTGCTGAGAAATAAGGGTTTAAAGTGAATTCCAATTTTTCATAATTCTTAATAGTAGTCTCCAAAAAGTCTTTTTGATGATCTTTGGTAATGCAAGACTTATAATTGCTCGCTTTCCTAAATTCACTCACAGGAGATCCAGACATTAAGTCAATATTTCACACGGGAGTGGCCTTCCCCGTTGATATTTTTCTTCGATAATAGGAATGATTATTATACATTATAACGACAATTTTTCAAAAATTTAAATATCTATTGGGGTTTTGGGGTTTTGGGGTTTTGGGGAGTT